GGGCGCCCGGGCGCCCTCCCGAAACTCTGCCCTTGCCTGGCAGCTGGCTGCGTCGAGCAGTGTGCAGGGGCGCAGCGGGCAGGGAGTCTGTCTGAGGCTCTCGCTGGGCCCTGTCTAGGGGGTTCAGGGGCCTGTGAACCCCTTTCCCCCAAGGGAACTAGGGCTGCCGGCCTATCCGCCTATGCCTACATCGAGCATATGCTGTGCTGTATCACTGAGAAGCAAGAAAGTCTCCTATTCTATTGGCTGGCGGAGTCACATCTTGCTGTGGATGGGGATGCAGGGTTGGGGGTCCCCGACGCACCGTCACACTGATATCAGCACAAAATGGGTGGAGGGACTCCTGTGTCTGTCGCCCCCTCTTGCCGTGGTGGGAGTGACCGTCCAGCCCGCCGGGCAGTGTGAACAGGGCCCGCTTCATTAACACCGGTGCAAGCAGAACACGAGCAAAGGGGAATGTTCCATCCGTTACATTGGGTAGAAGCCTTCCGCACACACTGCCAATGTGCAACGGTGTGTGTGTGTGTGTGCCGTGCAACATGCAACATTGTGTGTGTGTGTGTGTGTGCACGTGTGCATGTGCAACATGCAACAGTGTGTGTGTGCCTGTGTGCACATGCAACAGAGTGTGTGTGCCTGTGTGTGTGTGTCTTTTCTGTGTTCTGCAAAGTGCAGTGTCAACTTCTAACTACCTAATAATGGGAGAGAGCTGTAGGAATGGGACTGGATTCTGGGGCCATACACTGAAAGAGTCAAACTGGAAATCAGTCTGAAGGCAGAGCTGGAAAACCACGCAAAAAACCAAGGCCCCGCTTCAGCAAAGCACGAAGGCGCACACTTCACTTTAAGCACAAGAGGTCCCATTGACTACAGGGAGAACGTGTGAATTTAAGCACATTGCCGAATCCATGTCAAAAGGTCGAACCCATTCACTTCTGAGCAGTAAAACAATCATCACATGGAAGGTTTGATGTGGCATCTCCCAGAAGTCAGATTGGTCCACAGGGAAATGGGGATCGTTTGAGGGGTTAGAGGCGGTTGACTTTGTTTCCTCATTGAAAAGACTTGGACTTTTCAGTTTAGAAAAGAGGAGACTAAGGGGGATATGATCGAGGTCTATAAAATCATGCCTGGTGTGGAAAAAGTGAATAAGGAAAAATTATTTACTTATTCCCACAATATAAGAACTAGGGGTCACTAAATGAAATGAATAGGCATCAGGTTTAAAACAAACAAAAGGAAGTTTTTCGTGACTCAGCCCGCAGTCAATCTGTGGAACTTCTTGCCAGAGGATGTTGTGAAGACTGGGACTTTAATAGGTTTTGAAAAAGAGCTAGATAGATTCATGGAGGTTAAGTCCATCAATGGCTATTAGCCAGAGTGGGCAGGGATGGTGTCCCTAGCCTCTGTTTGCCTGGAAGTGGGTGACAGGGGAGGGATCACGTGAGGATTACCTGGTGTGTTCCCTTCCTCTGGGGCACCTGGCATTGGCCACTGTGGGCAGACAGGACACAGGGCTAGATGGATCTTTGGTTTAACCCAGTGTGGCTGTTCTTATGTTTCTAACCAGCTTTTTGGCCCTGTAGTGTCTAGAGATAAGAGTATTGAAAACTGTAATAAAGTTACACTTTAAATGGGCAGGGGTTTCCCAGTGCTGCTGGCAGACTGAAAGGCTCTGCAGGGAAGCATGTGCTCAGAAGCAGTTTGCAGAGAGCCAGCCACGTGGGAGGCAGGGTAACAATAGAGAGAGACATGCCTATCTCATTGAGTCCAGTCAGCTACCCTCCAAGCAGGACCAAGTACTATCCCTGACAGATTTGCCCCAGGTCCCTAAATTGCCCCCTCAAAAACTGAACTCACAACCCTGGGATTAGCAGGCTAATACTCAAACCACTGAGCTATCCCTCCTCCCTTGTTTCCTTTGGGAGCAGCCAGTTTTCTCTCTCTGGTTTTGTGGCTGCATCTCAGGCTTCCAGAGGCTAAGAAATCCAGTCCTGTGCTATTGCAGGCGTAAGCCGATTCACGTTTCAATCTGGCCTCTGTGCGGGCGCATGCTCTGGGTCTGACCGAAGCCTCCATCTTGCCCCCACTCGAAGAAAACAACAAAGACGTTTTAGTGGGGGGAAAACAGGATGGTTTTTATTTTTCATCTGTGCGTGCCTGGGGGCCGGGCTTGCCCTAAGGAGGGACGGCCCCTTTCCCACAAAAAGCTTCCCACGGCTAACATGGAGCCCTTGTGGTGTTCCCAACGGCGCAGCGGAGCTGCAGAAATCAGAGAGCGCTAGAACTGGAAGGGACCTCAAGAGGTCATCAGATGCCATCCCCCGGCCTCCCAGCTCCCAGGCACAGTGGATGGGATGCAAACCAGCCCCCCTGCCCAATTAATTAAACCTTTTCCAATCACTAGGGAATTGAACAATGTTACTTTGATTCAAACTGGCCAATCCGCACCGGGGTGGATAAGAAACAAACCCCACGGTCCCACTCCTCATCTCGGGGGTCTGGGAATTCAGACATTGGCAAATAAATAATTATTCTCTGCTTTGGCTCTTGCATAGTCAAAAAGTTTTGACCTGATTGGAAGGAAGAGTCCTATGCATCCGACTGCACTCCTGCCTCAGCGACACACGAGGCTCGCGAGCATGTCCCCGACACACACAGGCCCAGATGCGTGCAGGCACACGCTTATTAGGCCCATGTGCAAACATTCTCATGCGTACACACACGGCCCATCCATGCACGCACAGAGACACGTGGCCCATGCATGCATACACCTTGCACTCACACATCCCCATGTACACACTCATGCACACAGACACACGTGGCCTGTATATGCATACACTTGGCACTCACATCCCCCATGCACTCACTCACTCACTCACTCACTCACTCACTCACTCCCCCCCCCGTGGCCCATGCGAACACCCACAGCAAACGTGGCCCATGCGAGCACCCACAGCAAAGGAAAGGAGTGAGATGCAGCATTATTTCAGTTCCATTTCTGAGCTGGATTTGTGAGCCCTTCTCCTGGAGGAGTGGAATTTGACTCCGAGGACGATCGAGACAAGGAGCAGGAGAACGCCGAGGAACAGCAGGACCCACTGGCCTGCGACGGCTTGGCTGCTATCCAGCGACATCCCCAGGAAACTGGCTCTGGCACTGGCACTAGACGGCGCTTGACCTGCGTGAAAGCAAGAAGAAAACGGGGGCTGGTAGAGCAGGCCGAGCTGCTGCGGGCCAATGGAGCCCTCTGGACCCAGGGCCAGGGAAACCTCCTCCACAGCGGGCGGGCCCTTGGCAGGGCTCGAACGTTTGACCACAGGCCCCTGGCTCGTGGGGAAGCATCTGTGGCGAACGGTTTGCTGGGCCGGTGTCCGCCCCACGGTGTCCTGCCAGCACCTTGCGATGCCTCGTGCTGGGCGAGCCAGCGTTCGCTGGCCTTGGCTGCTGCATCCCCCCTCCCCCGGTCTAAGACATTGCCGGGGGGTGGGGAGCCCTTCACAAACCCAGCAGCCTCCGTTGGATCCTTTCCAACCCCGCCCATGCATGGCTCTGGTCTTCAGGGGCGAGCATCACCCCGGGGATGACGGGCAGCCCTGGAGACTGTATCCCAGCAACGCACAGAAGCTCCACTCCCAGGACCCCGTTCGCCCAGTGGTTGGGACCGGCTAGGGACCCCGTGGGGGCTGGCGTACCCGCATAGGGCGTCCAGTTGTACTCGGGCCAGCCCAGGCTCTCCCCGGTCTTGGTGTTCTCAGCAGCCAGCCAGTCCGTCAGCGGCTTGAAGTAGGTCATCAGGGCGTCGGCCGACATGTTGGGCTGCCCGGTGATGTGCTGCCTGGCCTCCGGCCAGGGCTTGCTGAAGCCCAGCTTCATGGCGTTCCTGCGGGCGGGAGCGAGCGGCTGTAGGCACACGGGCCCCTGCTGCCTTTGCGGACGGCCCCGGCCTCCCAGCCCCGGGCCTGTCCCCCTGCGGGCTGGCGACGCGGCTCGGCGGGGGCGGTGACTGCAGCATAGGTCGGCTTATCCCGGCTGGCTTTGGGTACCACAGGCAGGGAAGCCGCAGCCTCAGGGACAAGCCGCCCAATGGAGGACCCCGGATTCGGGGGCACCGCAGCAGCTGCACCGCCCGCGGAGTCCAGGTGAGTGGGGGAGCGTCACCCTGTGCCGACACCCCCGCACTCAGCACCCCTCCCCAAAAGGGCGACGCCGTCACCTGCCTGCAAGGCCAGCAGGGTACCGACACGGAGGGCTGAGGCTGAGCCCTGGGCTGCAGCCGGGAGGGGGTGGAGAGGGAGGTAGGACTGGGCAGGGCTGACACAGGGCACTCTACTCTCTTGCGATCTGTGCAGCAGTGAAAGGGTTAAGCTTTGCTGGGGGGTGGGGGCCTTAATCAGCCGTAATCCATGCAGGAACCGAGGTGCCACCTTGTGGCAG